ATAGATAGATTACTTAATATTGTTAAATTGACATATGAATTGGTAGTTTTTTTAAAAAAAAAAAATTTATTGTAAAATAATTTTAAAACCCAAATTGAAACTACTCCCCAGTTTGAATGAGTAGAATAATGTTTTTGTATTTTTATTTTTTATAGATAATTATAAGATGTCTATATTTATTAATTCAAGTACACAACCAATTAATTTAAAATTTAAAATTCAAAAAATAATTAGTTAGAAAAGTAGTTTAATTTGTCTTAACAATGCCACTTTACTTTTTGTGGTTAAGACACTTGTCTTAATGTAGTGCTTTTGCTTCTCCTATTCTATATAGAGATATAGATAGAAGATTATAAGATATCTACGTTTATTAATTCAAATGGTGTAACCAATTAGTTCAGAATTTAAAATTCAAAAACCAATTATTAGAAAAGTAGTTTATTTTGTCTAAACAATGCCACTTGGCTTTTTGTGGTTAAGACACTTGTATTAAAGTAGTGCTTTTGCTTCTCCTATTCTATATAGATATAGATAGAAGATTTTCGTTTGTTTATAGATAATTATAAGATATCTATATTTATTAATTCTAGTAGTGTAACCAATTAATTCAAAATTTAAAATTAAAAAAAAATAGTTGGAAAAGTTTATTTTATGTTAACAATGCCACTTTGCCTTTTGTGATTAAGACACTTGTCTTAATATAGTACTTTTGCTTCTCCTATTCTATATAGATAGAAGATTGTTTATTTAATTGAGTACTACTTTATTTGTCCATTGACAAATAGGTAAACTATAACGTGTAATTGTGATATAAAACAAAGAAGTAAATAGTAATCCGATCGTCTTAGGTATCAAATTTTATTTCGACAAGGACTAGATTCTACTTGAGTTCTTTGACAAAGTTATATTATATTATAAATATAAATCAACGCAACTATCAACCCTAATATATTTTTTCCTCTAGAGCAGCAGTCAGTTCTTGGGCCTTCATCTAATAAGGTGAGTGTATTTTGTTTTTATATGAGAATGGAACTCACAATATTCTAAGACGAAATAATTATGGACATCATAAGTAGGCTACCCGTGAAATCTCTTCTACGTTTCAAGTGCGTTTCTGAATTTTGAAATACATTAATATCTGAACCTTACTTTAAAAAAAAACATCTCAAATTTCATGCCAATAACCAAAATTCTCAAAAACTGCTTTTTGGCCAAGGAATCAATAGAAATTTTTACTTCCTTTCTTCTTCTTTATCCCCAGTTCATATTGTTAAGGATATACAGAGACTTGATTCACCTACACAATTGGCAATTTTTAAAAACCACTGTTGTTGCGATGGCTTGTTTTTCATGGAGATTTGGCCGGGTAAACCTTATAGATTCTTGCTATGGAACCCTTCCACTAGAGAATCAATAATACTTCCCCATTTAGAATTTTCAGACGAGGAATTATATGCTTACGGATTGGGATATGACTCTACTAATGATGACTATAAAGTCGTTAAGATTGACATTAATGACCAAGTTGATGAAATTCTTGCGCTGAAAAGTGGTTCCTGGAAAAGAATTCATGAAACATCAGGTAGGGTGGATTATTATCGGAGATGTGAAGGGGAATGTTTGGCATTTGTACATGGAACATTTCATTGGTACGGATATTCCGGAGGGCGAGTTGTGGTTTCATTGAATATTTCAAGTGAAAAATACGAAATAATACCTTTTCCAGAAACAAGCGGGTTACAAATTTCTTCAGACGATGAGCTGGGTGTATCAGTGTTAGGAGGAATGCTTTGTGTTTATTTTAGCAACGAGATAACTTTTAATTTATGGGCAATGAAAACTTATGGCGTCAAAGAATCGTGGACCAACTTGTTCACCATACCAACTAACGAACAACATCCTACCCCGATGTATAGGTTTTCAAATGGTGAAGTGCTACTTAATGTTTATTGCTGTATTTATAAATAATAATTCTGGAAAATATAAGTTATTGTAATGAAACAGTAATTAATTCGAGCCCACTGAATTCACAGTCTTTCCTTAAGGAATTTTAATCCCCTCTTAGTACCCAAGGTTATGGATTATTTCCTCTCAGGATAGAACGAATCACACTCTGGTATAGCGGTACTTCAAACCCCAGTGTTTCAGCGAACACAAAGTTCGGTAGCAAATCACACTTACAGTTGCTTTGTTTGAAGTTAAAACAATGCAGAACAAAGGAGTAGAAACTCAGAAAATCGTATGGAAATGCTGAGAGGAAGGAGTGCAATGTATAGCCAAAGTTGAGCGTTTTCAGTTTGGTATTTTTGTTGTGTCTTTCTTCATCAGCTGCTGCACATATTTATAGCAGTCAGCTTTGAAGATGAACGACCCTCCACCCTCCATTGTGGAGCATGCACTAGCTTGTTTGTGGAGCAAGCACTTGGCCATGGTGGGAAGAGCATTAGGCGGCTGCTATTGCAGGTGGTGGTCAATACACGGATTGGAACATATCCGTTATAAATACGGATAATCTTACGTTAATATTTATTATTAAGAAATAAATTTGGTCCAAAAAATTAATCAATCAATCATTTGACCGAATCCGAAGCTGAAGCCGAAGCCGAATCCGAAGCCGAAGCTGAACCGAGCGAGCGACGACGACGACGGCGCGAGGCTTGCTTTCTTCTTAACTCTTTAAGAGCTACAAGAAGAGCAATTATATATATACCCACCAAAAATCTTTTCCTCTTCCAATATGGGACAATGTCTCATTGTCAAGAGGGGAAAACTTAAAATTTTACTCAAAAATTTCATTTTTCCTCCATTTCCCATTCACCTTCATTTTAAGACTATTTCATCTTAAATAACAAAAACCTCAACAATCCCCCACATGAATGGGGAATGGCTATATCACGGAAGTATGCATGGAAAAACTGTGTGATTTACAAGCAAGGATTAATCGCATCTGGATAAGTAGGTTTCCCTTTGAACTTTCCGTAGTAAACTTATGTCGGATATACTCGGTCAATCGGTAGATTTGATATCTTTGAACCGTCGATCTTTGGTGTATACCTAGACAACCATAAGTCACACAATCAACCCTTAACCGTCTTTGGTTCTCATTGTTGTGTTCGTTTCAGCCATGAACACCGCCTGGTTTCATAAGTGCGTAGAGAACTGGCCTTACAAAGTTCTCCTTGAAGCGGCTCACACTTCACACTTAAATAGGTGATTCCTAAACGTGTCATCCTGTAGATACACTATTTGATATACCCCGTATCAAATTTAGAAATCATTATAAAGACTTAATGCTTTATCCTTGATACTGAACATTGTCTCATCATGAGAACGGACTAAAATTTTATTTGACAATGTTGAACCGTCATTAATGACTTTGTTTGATCTCCTTGAACCTAGATCTTGGAATCTCCAGTCTTCTAGGTAGAGTTACCGCCACAATGACATGTTCTCGGCCAAAGCCCCATTCCCCTTGATGATTTCTCAACTACCTCTCTAGTTAGGCCTTTTATAAGTGGATCCGACACATTATCACTTGACTTTATATAGTCAATCGTGATAATTCCTCTAGAGAGTAATTGCCTAACGGTTTTATGTCTTCGTCGTATATGACGAGATTTACCGTTATACATAACGCTCCCGGCCTTTCCAATTGCCGCTTGACTATCACAATGTATACATATTGGTGCCAATGATTTGGGCCAAAATGGAATGTCTTCCAAGAAATTCCGGAGCCATTCAGCTTCTTCACCGGCTTTATCTAAGGCTATGAATTCAGCCTCCATTGTAGAGCGGGCAATACATGTTTGTTTGGACGACTTCCAAGATACCGCTCCTCCACCAATAGTGAATACATATCCACTCGTGAACTTAGAATTAGTTGAACCGGTGATCCAATTTGTATCACAGTATCCCCCAATCACCGCAGGAAATTTACTGTAGTGCAAGTCAAAGTTCTGGGTATGTTCTAAATATTCCAAAACTCATTTCATTGCCATCCAATGAGATTGGCTTGTATTGCTCGTATATCGACANACCTCAACAATCCCCCACATGAATGGAGAATGGCTATATCACGGAAGTATGCATGGAAAAACTGTGTGATTTGCAAGCAAGGATTAATCGCATCTGGATAAGTAGGTTTCCCTTTGAACTTTACGTAGCGAACTTATGTCGGATATACTCGGTCAATCGGTAGATTTGATATCTTTGAACCATCGAACTTTG